ACCCACAGACGCCCCCACCCACCGGCGTCCGTACCCACCCATCAGCGCATCCACCCGCCGGCGTCCGCACCCACCCACAGACGCACGACCCACCGGCGACCGCACCCACCCATCAGTGCGTCCACTGATGGGCGACCGCACCCACCCACAGACGCCCCCACCCACCGGCGTCCGTACCCACCCATCAGCGCATCCACCCGCCGGCGTCCGCACCCACCCACAGACGCACGACCCACCGGCGACCGCACCCACCCATCAGTGCGTCCACTGATGGGCGACCGCACCCACCCACAGACGCCCTACCCACCGGCGTCCGCACCCACCCATCAGCGCGTCCACCCACCGGCGACCGCACCCACACACCAGCGCGTCCACCCACCGGCGACCGCACCCACCCACAGACGCCCTACCCACCGGCGTCCGCACCCACACACCAGCGCGTCTACCTACCAGCGTGCGCACCCACCCATCAGCGCGTCCACCCACCAGCGCCCCTATCCGTCCACCAACGCCACCACACGCCCACCAGTGCCACCACCCATCCACCAGCACCACCACACACCCACAAGCGCCACCACCTATCCACCAGCACTGGCGTCCCCACTCACCGACACCTCCACCCATAGAAATATAATAGAGAGACCACCCAAAGGCGCCTCACCCAGCGACCGGCACCCCCTCCAACCATCTACCGGTGTGGCTTCTGATACAAGAGGGCTCTAGACGCGCGCGCGCCTCGTCATTCGTGTCACGAACTCGCGGCTCGGGATCGTGCATCAAGCGCTGCCGCGCCAACCGCATACATGTAATCGCGCGGTGGCTGAACCCTGGTGCGCATGCGCACGAGTCGCTCTCGACTAAAATGCATTTCGAATCGATTTCCGGACGGCGGCGCTCACACCCACGCGATGCCTTACAGTGGCGGCTCGCTCCAAGCTAGCGCGGAGGTGTGGTAACCTACGGTAGCACGCACGCGCTGCCTCTCAGACGTCGCATTCGAATCCCGCTTGCTTGAATTACAGTTAGCCGAGGGTTGGGAGATGAGTTGGAGGCGTGTGCAACCGTGTGTACGTATAGATGGCAGCGGTGGCCGCACGTGTAATTGCCAGCGTTTACTTCGTATTTTCGCGTTACCGATATTCGTCCGGCGGCGTGTTTACCATCTGCCGATTCGGACCCACTCAGGCGCGCGCGATCGCCGGAGATAAGAGAATATACAGCCGCTTGGCGTTCGCGTTCGCGTCGGCGGTTTCGCAGATGCTCGCGCGCGCACGCGGCGGCTTCCTTCCTGCGTGCAGGAAAGAAAGCTGTCGCACGCACGAGCAGACGATTTGCGACTGAGGAAAGCTGTCGCACGCTGCAATGCAGCACCTGAATCACAGAAGACATCAAAGCTTATAATAAGCTCTATGATTAGGGCTCTTATCGATTGTGCTAGTAAAGGTAGCACATTATGCTGCTAGCAGTGTTCGTTTTTGGGCCAAATTATGCTCAAATTATGCTAGTTTTTCAAAGATTATGCTATTGACAAGAAACACAAGAAAAGTCAAAAAATCAAATGCTTTATTGTTAACGAAAGCAAGTTTCTAGCTTTGAAATGATCTCTTCTTTTTCCTGAACTGGTCTGGACTGCTCTAAACACAACACAAACCTATATTGATGACTCAGTCAGTGTCTTCAAAATGCACCATGCTTATTCGCATTTGATTTCGTTCTCCTAATATCCGCTTAGCGCATGTTAACTGCGGAGGACAAATTAGAAAGTTGCTCTGCGTGGAGCTTCCACCATTCCACTTTCTTCTCGTCGCAAGGAATTGCCACATCTTGTGCAGCAGCGACGTACTGTGGTAGCACATGACGTGTACTTCCGGTGCGCCCCAAGCACCTTGCCGGCTCCTAGCGAAATGAAAATATTCTGAACAAAGCTAGAAAAAAATCAATATTAGAAATAAAACAAGTCATGGCTCTAGTAATGTGCTCTGAAAATAATAAAAAATATGCCGATTATGTGCTCGTTTTCCCAAATTATGCCAAAAAATGTGCTAGCACAATCGATAAGAGCCTAGCTATGATGTTTATGAATGCTATACATTATAATCATACAAAATAGGCTCGGAATCGGTTTTTCGCAAAGTGCGCTTGTTATGTTCGTCAATCGCGACGTCGAGCGCCGCAAATAAAAAATAATTGTATCATATATTACTATTTCGTCTGTTTTTTTTCTCGTACTAAAGCCTATAATGACAAACAAAAGTTATTTTTAGTTGCTCGGCAACAATTAATAATTAATAATGCCTCTATTGTATCTTTATCGAGCGTACAATGAGTTTTTGCGGTCGCCACCGCAAACGGTGTTATATTTTCGACATAGATCAAAATCTCGGTTTGTTAGGGCGAAGTGTCTATTTGACATTCAGATTAAAATTATTTATCTTACAGAGCCATGCATCGGGCAACCCTTGGCTGTAGGTCTCTTGTCTCCCTCCTTCTTTATCTCTATTGCGCGCGCTCTCTTTCTCTCTCTCTCTCTCTCTCTTTCTCTCTCTCTCTCTCTCTCTCTCTCTCTCTCTCTCTCTCTCTCTCTCTC